GGCTATAGATGAATTTATTGGTTAGTTCATCCACTGACTGGGAAAAACCTGTGGATCATCTTCCCACAGCTGCTGATGCATAAGGAGACTTTTAATCATCATAGCATTAAAATCTGCTTATAGTTTTAGGTTTTAACCTGGCCCGATGGGCTGCTTGTCATCTGTGGCCCTACAGTAACGTACCCAGAAAGGTTGGAGCTAGCTGGTTGTGCTGCTGAGCAGGTCATCTCTGTGATAAACACAGAGATCCAGTGACCTGCCGGGGGCCACATGTGTTGCATCTTTTAAAACTGTTCTGACTCGGAGGATCAGTGCTGCTCTGCTTCCCTGTTCTGGATCATGGTGTTAAACAGCAGGCAGGTCCGTGTTGGCGTGTTCTGTGTTTGATCCATGTGCTGCTGAGGATTCTGACATGCTTTCTGTTTCTGCTTGTTTCCAGGCTGAGGAGGGAAACATAGAGTATAAGGTAGGGTTCATCTTTCTGCTTGGCAGAGCTGCTGTGACCAACTTTATCTGCTGGGGATTAAAGTAGCTCCGTTGTTTCTGCTGTTCTTACAGTTAAAGCTGGTTAACCCCACCCAGTACCGCTTTGAGCATCTGGCCACCCAGCTGAAGTGGCGTCTGCAGGAGGGCCGCGGCGAGGCCGTGTACCAGATCGGAGTAGAGGACAACGGCCTGCTGGTGGGTCTGACAGAGGCCGACATGAGGGGATCGCTGAAGACCCTGAAGAGGATGGCAGAGAAGTAGGTGACCTCAGGCGACCCTGTCTGCCTGGAAGGCATTAGGGCAAAATCTACAGTCCTGCAGATCAAGTATTAATGTCATTATGATCATCTCATGATGATTGATGACCCGCCTCAGCCAATCAGCATCAAGTATCTGCAAAAGCAGTTCCCTCCTCTGGAAACAGAGAATATGTGTTAATTAGTGATGGTGAGATGAAGCCTCATTGAACCGTCTGGGCTAATTGCTTCAACGATCCCCACAGTTCATGAAGCTTCATGTGAACATGTCACCACCTACTGGAGGAGGGCAGAACTACAGATAGTAAGATAATTGTGATTTATTTGCAATTGTTTTTCTTGTTTTTTTCCCATTTAAGTTCCTTTAAAATTGTTAATGATTGGTGTGTATAATAAATCTTTTGTACGTTTGTTTAGTGTATAAAGGTATTAGAAGAGAACAATCATTTAAGGTACACAGTTTTTCTGCCAGTTTTTTTTTTTATCCAATCTATATTTGTACTAGGACCAATCAATACAAATTAGTCACATTACCCAAAATACTTGTTAAATATTATCGTAACTTTCAAAAATCTAAGGTGGGTCTGGAACCAAACGCCTCAGGGCTGCAAGTCAATGTCTTACAGCCGACGACACTATCAATGGTTACTGCAATTTAGAGAGAAATACTACTTAAAACTAAAGTTCAGAGATGGGAGCTGTGTCAATAGAAAGATGATTATGCTGGGCAGACCTATAAGGGAGCCTTTACTTTGAGCACTTTGGTCTTTAGATGGGAGAATCCAGTCCAGCAGCCTTTAGAAGAACGGCAGCTCATCCCATCCAGTAAAGATAAGCATCACGGTATTATATAGAATAGAATACAATAGAATAGGATAATATAAAATACATTACAATATATCTGATTCTATAATTAAATATGTTGTGTTGTTTAAGGTGGCTGCATGTTGGATTAGCTCTGCTAGCTTCACTTTGATATTTTTTCTTTTACGAGAACGTCTGGTCTTGAACTGATATTTCTTCCTTTTTGGATACTTGTTATGATGCGTAACCACAGCAACCATGGAAAGTTGATTTTTTTACATCTTGAAGCAGCTCTATAACATCTATTCAGCCACACTCGTACCAGCTGAGTTGTAAAGGAGGTACCAGAGGTGCAGAGCAGGAGCCAGGAGACTAGAGAGGAAGAAGAAATAGAAGCCGTCTCTTCCATTGGTCATCA